TTGTTTGTTTTAATTATCATTAATTAAGATATTTTCATTAAAAATAAAGTATTAAGAGAATTTGATTGATTCTATTTGACATAATTGAAAGAATTTAGAAGAGAGACTTTGGCTGTACTTGTGCTGTAAACTTTGGAGTTTAATAATTCAATTCTACAATATTAGTGCTTATCACAATTTTTTTATTTCTCATACTCTTCATTTAGTCATTTTTATCCAAATATGAATAATTTTCAGAAAATCTCAAAGAATAATTTTTATCATTAGCTATTGAAAACAAATATTTAAAAAATAATGTTAATAACAATAATTTTTTAAAACTGATGTCATTACAATATCTACAAATTATCTTGGTTGTTATTATCGAAAACAAAAATGTACATATAATTCATACAGATAATTTCATAGCCCATAGAATATTTCAGGATAATTACTACATGTTAAGATGCAAAAAATAGCAGTACATAAATTTTCACCGCTCAAACCTTTTCTTAATTCATACCTCACGTTAATTACGCTAATTAATTTACGAACATCATTTTTATGTTAACGCGGTCAGTTATCTTATGAAAAGGCATTCTAATGGCGCAACATATTGTATAACTTATCAAATAAAATCAACTTAATGGAATCTAGCTCGGTACAGAATGACGAGCGGATTTACGAATAAAAACGCCGCGAAGACGCTAATTCAATTTCGCGAAGACGATGGTACAGCTCGCATGATATATTATATCGTGATATCAGTAAGGATGATCGCATAATCGCGTATTATAATGTTCAGGTAAAAGTTGCTTGTTCGTCACACGTATTTGTGCTACGACTGACGGACGTGATCACGTAACGTGCACATGCGTGCGTAATTATCTTTTTTTCTCTTCCTTGCACATACGACCACCGTATGGGCCGTTGTTAGTTCAATGATGAGAATGTAAGCTGTCTATCATAATGCGAAATGTGTTTTATTCGTAAAAGAACTAACGCTAAGGCAAAGCGAGAAAACGGTAATTTTACACGCAAGAATTAGAGGATAGATTAAACCGCTTGAGTAATATAAGCATGTGATGCAAGCTATACAAGAAATCGGCTATTAATTTGAGATGGATAAAGTATGATGAAAACGAATTCAATTAATAATATGTTTAATGAATATTGCTCCGACTGCGCGGCTTCCGTTGATTGAAGCAAGAAATTGAAAACGGTTTCAAGTGTCCCGTTTTATAAAAAAATGATTTCATTTTGCACGGTCATTGCCTCGAATATATATTAATGATCAGCTTGATTGTAAGCTTGTTACTCTCTGTTGATGCGCACGATAATAAAAATTTCTCATCTTGACTGCGTTGTCTATCATCGTACATTAACTGTACTTTAGAAAAAAAAAAAGGAATCATTTAATACATTTAATATTTGCTTAATGATATATTTTGCGTGCACACCGTGCACACTGTAAAGCATTCATAGGTAGATAAAAATTTTACGAACACCCAGTGGACTTTCATAAAGATTTCTATGAAAAATAAGATTTCATTTTATTCATCATGGCAATGCTTGATGAGGTTTCTCACGAAATCTAGTGTTTGACAGTATAAACTTATTTCGCCAAGAGCAGATATCAGTTTTTAAAGGGGTCTTCACACGATTAAATCGATGATTTAGTATAGATACTCGGTTAATATTACACATACTGATAAAATTATTGTTTATTTATAGTATTAGCCTTTTATTCAGATTATTATTAGAAATGAAATTGTCAATTACAGATTGCTTTGTCTATTGTCTATGGACTATAGATTCTTTGACTTTTATTCCAATGATTAATAGGATATAAAGACTTTATGTCTAAATATTTATCTAAAAATATGTAGAGAAGATATGAAATTTCATTCCATGAAAAGGATGCAGGAGAAGAGCAAACAGCTTTTAAAGGCTGCTTTGCTTGTGAAATGAGATAAAAAAATCAGCTTTTTTTCGTTGCATTGAAATTAATATATTTTAATTGTTGCAAAATTGAAGCTCTCAGAAAAGTGTCATATTCCTTTAAAAACAAAGGTTTAATAAAATTTTTTTTTATTTATAAAAAATTCGATACAAAAATGATAATTAAACTACAAGGATAATAAATCTACTTTGCAAAATATACTTGACGCAAAATATATAAAAGAAATGTCTTTAAGTTATTTAAAAAATATTATATTCATATGTCACTCTTAGCTTCAAATTTCTATTTCTACTACTCATAAAATAGTATTAAAATAATACATTATAATAAGTTGCAGTATCTACCGATAATATTTGTATACCATAAGGGAAAATATTAATAATCTAAATAATATGTGTTTATTGTAAAAAATAATTTATCTTTTTATTCATCATTCAATTAACTTCACGTTCTTAGAATGCGTTCCCTAAAATACCATTGAAAATGTTAACACAGATCTAATGCCCATTTCTATCAATGTAATTTAATTTTAATCTTGATTCAATTAACTCTTTATTTCTTTTAGTTCTAAAAATAAGAAAAAAATCATCAATATTTTAACGTAAGTCTTATGTCCATTTCTACCAATGTAGATTACAATGTAGATAACTGTAATCTCAGTTCAATTTATTCTTCATTTTTTTCTAATTCTCAAAACTGAAAAAAGATGAAGAGTTAGTTAAAGCAAAATTAAAATAAATTTACATTGATAGAAACGAGCATAATTGAACGCTTTAGGCCCGTTTCCACCAACGCAAATTAACTTCAATCTCGGTCTGACTTACTCTTTATTTTTTCTAAAGATTAGCAAAAGACGAAGAGTAAGTTGAATCGAGATTAAAGTTAATCTACATTGGCGGAAATGGGTATTAGTCTTTGAATAAGCTCATTGTGAGAGCTGCTTTAAAGAGATCGTGTGAAAGCTCCTTAAGAAACCAGCGCGAGGTGAAAGCGCCAATTGCGCGCTCTCATTGTCAGTCACGGCCGAGCCGCGAGCTGTACGGTCGCTTCTTTTGCGGTTCTCTCGCAACGCGAAAATCACTTGAATCAAGTTGACGCACAAGAAAGACCGAGTTTCCTCGAAGAAAAATCTCTTTTCCTGCGTCGCACAAAAACGTGTGCGAAGCGCGCGTGATCGATCGCAGACGCGTCTTGCTCGAGTTACGCTCCGAGACAAGATGTGAAAATGAGAGAGACGCTGAAGATCCGACGACCCAACACGCAAGGTAAAGAGGAACGAGAGAGGCCCGTTAACGCTGCTTGCTCGCGCACGTTCGTGTCCTCGAACACGCCGGATTTCGTCAAATTTCGAACGGAGATCTCCAAATTGGAGAATAATCACTATGTTACTTCCAAAAGCTGTGGATTCCAGCTTTTTAGACAAATTTCTAGCTCTCCGGCTGATGAAAAAGATTTCATGATGTTTCTTTTAGAGAATTACAAAACAGTAACTATTTTAATAGATACTTGATTTCTGGCGAAATGATGGAATCTCCAGCAGGAGAAACGACAACTACAATGATGGACCACTCAAGGAATATACAAAAGTTAAACAAAAATTAAAATGACTTTATCTTAATTTTTGACGTCAATTTTAAATCAATTAAATTTTATAATAAAAATTATTATTTTGATTTTAATGTCACGTCAAAATGAAGTTATTTTTACTTTCTCTTATTGTGTTCCTTGAACAGTTGTCGCGGAACTTCCTTCACAAACGTCCTTGATTCGTCGATCGCGCCACCGATGAGAAATCGCCGGCATAATAAACATGTTTTCTAATTGCGTTCTATGTTCAATTTAAAACTTTTCTCACACATTTAATTAATTGCCACGTCTTTACTCCAATTCTAAATCGCGACGATTTTGTTATATTCTGCCAGTGCGATGAAGTGTACATTTCATGAGGATTTCATTCTTATATTCTTCTGTATCCAAATCTCTACACTAGAAAAAAGAGTCTGATTGCGTTAATTGGAATTCTGGTTGAAAATGAACAAATTAAAATTTTCTGATTGAATCTATTACATTTTGTTATATTCTAGTTGAAATAACCACATCGGAAAATTTATTTTGAATTTAAAACATTTCGTGTGTCCCAAACAATCCACTTAAATTTATGTGTTAATTTAACGCCAGATAAATATATTAGAAAGTAATACAAATATTATTTTAAAAAACAAAAAAGATAATACTGATACAGTTTGTAAGCAAATCATGAAAGTATATTTTTTCAGCAAAATTAACATTTATGATTAAATTAATACATATTTTATTCATTCATCTTGGAATTTACGTTTTAAAACACGTTATTTTTAATTTGTTATTTGCTAATTTACTTATAAATTGTGTTATTTTGGTTAAAAAACGTTGAATATCAATTTAATACAAATTTAAATAACATAATTATATTAAGTTAAATTAATACTCGAATGTTAAAAATTTAACATAAAACTTTAACAAGATACCGAGTGGATCTTTTTCAACAGAAATAGGAAATGTTTTTTATTGTGCAAAATTCTGATATGATCAGAATCTTCTGGTTCATTTTCAAGAAATATTTTCAGTGTCTGTTAAAAATTTGAATGTAGATTTGATTAGATGGATTAAGTTATCAAAATTCCTATCTCGTTTTAACATAAATTGTCATAGCTAGATGATACTCTCAAGTTACTTTTAAGGAAGCAGCGCGGAAAAGTAATCAAAGTTTCTACTTTCTTCTAAGAGATTGCAAAGAAGATCATAGTAAACTACACTCTCTTTTCCTCTCAGAAAAGCTCATTCGAATTCATGCTCGTCATCATTCGTAATGATTCGCAATGAATCTTAATTTATCCATGAAATCTTCGCGAGGACGTTTGCATAAATATTTCGATATATATTTTTCGATGACGTGCGTATTACATAAAACTGTCGATTGCCAGCTAACTCGGTAAAACGAAAGTTCGTCATCGTCGATGGACATGAAATTCCATTGTGGTGGGGAATCTGATCGCATATTTCGCCATATTTGACTCACCTCATGTCTGTTTGTCCTTATCGCGTTGACTCCCAGTATTATATCCTTTTGCATTCCCTCGTTCGTGTTCATGATCCAATGCGCGTGGGTGAGAGCGTGCCTCTGATTTCTTCGGTTTTGGCTTGGCGAGTCTGACCTTGAAACCGGATGATTTCAAGTGGCCGTCAGCCTAGGCGGCGGATCGGTACTTCTCATCGGCGGCGAGACGCAAAAGACCACTGAGGAATGGAAATCGACGGGCCGAGGCGACGATTTGCCACGGAGAACTCAGGGCCTGGTGCAACTGCGCGTCATCAGTCTCGACGATGATGTGGACACTCAGGAGACGTCATGTTATGTGCATGAAGGTACCTATGCGTGGTATCTTAAAAAACGCTATCAAAAAGATGAAAAGTATCGTCGATCGCGGATTTTTTATCAATGTCTGATGTTACATTTAAGTCCGCAGAGAATGGATTGAAATGAATTGAAATGGATTCAGATTTTCAGAAATATTAATTCACGAATGAATAAAATGAATGCTTTTCAATCCTGAATTTTTCATTTATAGGAATTGCATAGAGCATATCTCTATGTTTTCAATCTTTCAATCTAAAAATAATATTAGCTTTTTCTGTATATTGTGAATACTGTTCAATTCAAAATTTTGAATAAGAAATACAGTTTTTCAATTCAATTGCATCCAATTGAATCTAATTGAGTCCAATTAAATCCAATTAAATCCAAAAAAAAGTATTCGCTATTTAAAATACGCATTCGATTAGAAAAAAATTCAATCCATTTTAATCCATTCTCGTTTGTTGCTCTTCTTTCTTCGGTATATTTATTTATACCTCTATAATATAAATTAACTTTAATCTGGTTTATCTTGATCTTCATATTTTTCTAACTCTTAGAACTAGAAAAAGATGAATTAGTAATTGAACTAAGATTAAAATTAAATTATATCGGTAGAAATGGGCATTAGAACTAGAAAAAGATGAAGAGTTAGTTGAACTAAAATTAAAATTAAATTACTCAGTAGAAACGAGCATAAGACAAATATAAACTTAAGTATTGATTGTCAGAAAATATTTCAATGAATAGCACTGTATTTCTATCTGTTCTAATAATATTTTTCAAATATATATCCTTGCAACAGCCTGAGAATATTTAACACATTTTGTGTTGCGATAATTTTAAATGATTTATCCTGCACTACGCTATATAGATCACTGATGACCTACGATATTTTTGTTTGTATTTATTATATTTATTTAAATAAATTAAAATTAAAGCTTTATGTATTAATTTTGCATAATCATAATTATAAAGCAATTAAAAATTATACATATTATAATTATATTTCTTTTTACAGCCTGGATTTCACTGGTACTATCTAAAACTTATTTTAATTTCATTGCAAACTCTTATAAACTATACATATATTAAATATATATGTATAGTTTATAATATAAAGATTAAGATAAAATACTAATAATAATAATAATATTAATAATAGTTTAAAAATCCTTTCTACAATTATACAAAGCTTTCTCTTTAAAGTTAAAAAAGGAGCGAAGAATGGAATATTCTCATAATAGTTCGGTAACTTCCAGTTTTCCTGATCCTGACTTTTTCTTTATCAGACAACATTTCCGATGATAGTACATACGAGAGTCTGTATTCCTGCCAACCTGATGACTTCAGCAGCGATTCAGAGACGGAAACGGACATTACGCGACAATCCCGCAATGATCGCGTGATCGATACTTATTTGGAATGTCCTACAAGACCAACTCCGCCGCCGCCAAGGGAGGCCAGTCTAACTCAGTCCTTGGGCAGGCGAATAAAGATGCTTCGCAGAACCTGGAGCATCACCAAAGGCAGTCTCGGTAGGATCAGGCGGCGGACATCCGTCGACGAGTCTGGCTTTGATGACAAGGAGCAATCCGTCAATGAGCCTCACGCCGACGTTGGAAAGTATTTCAATTTCCGGTTGAAGCACTTCAGCCGAAAGAGCATCGTTGGCCCGCCGACTTTCTATCTCGATGAGAACAACGGAAATGATGGCATCCGCGATAATAATAACGGCATCGTCAAGGAGGCGATTTATACCAATAGCCAATATATGGGAAGTGGCAGTGACGATTCTTCAAGAACTCCGACAAGCACCGATGTCGGTGAGTCTCAATAATTTCCAAATTATCTTTTTTTTTTCTCTTCTAATTTACAGTAAGGTGTACACGATAATACTGAGTTCTGAAATGGATGTGCTATTGATAAATAAATGTAAATTAAATTATTGTATGGATAATATCTTACAAGCAGAAGTATTATTACAAACAGTTACAAACCTAACAATAAGATTTCAAGAACGCAGAATACGTCTATAGATAATTCGATATAAATTTATTTAAATAATAAATTAGACATTACAAATGATCGCGAAAGAAAACGAGTTTTATTGACGCATTTATGAGAGTGACCTGATTTTACCAAGCACAGGCTAAATCAACGATTCTCATCAGCTAAATAACAAGTTTTTGCTCTATAGTTTTTGGTTTTCTCATATGCATAAGAATTCCTTATATCCATATGCATACTCCATATGCATAAGAACTCGCTGCATCGAAAAAGCGCACGTTTGTACATTTTTTAATGATACTTCCTACAATTAACTTCCTATAATTAATTAACGTACTCGCCGAAAGATTTATGCGCGCTCATTTTTTGATTGTCGTTCTTCTATAAATTACGGAAATCAGCTGCATTGACAAAATATATTGTTTTAGATCATTACAGTGTGCTCGCTGATCAGGAGCCTCTCTACCAGTTTTATGCAGCCGCGGTGGCTCGTGTTGCTTTCGAATCAGATTCCGAAGGCTATGAAGAGGTAATGTTTCTTACATTAGTTAAAATTCATATATGAGGCATTCTTCCAAAGAAATTTCTTCAAATAGATATTTTTACTGATGATTTTTGTAAATAAAACATATATTCTTAATTATAACATGTAACGAGATTTTTTTATTAATTTTAAATTCTTAGATTTTTAACACCTACTCTTTCTTGCCTGGATTTTTATTATTACTGTCTTCAATTAAGAAGAATTAATAAGAACTCTTATTTTCTTTACAATTATTTAAAAAATAAAAGTTTTTAATTTTTCTTTCTTATATTTTATTATATTTTTTTTTATTGTATGGTTTACTAAAAGAATTTTTAATTTTAAAATTTTTTAAAAACTGTTTAAAACTATATGATTTTGACAAATTATTTTTATATTTTACGATTTATAAAATTTGAACAGCACGATGCTATTTTACATGACGTTGCTATATAATTTTTCATTTACAGGTAGAAGATATGATGAGGAAAACGAAATCAGCCACAGCGGATCTTACCAGAGCAGGGCAAAGAATGCTCTGGTGTCATACTCCACAAGTGGTATACAGTGGTCTCTTACGTAAGTTAAATAATATAATGTACATTTAGAAAAATATTTTTCATATGTAGTAAAGTATAGAGAATAAGAAGATATCATAAAAAAATTAGCAAAAGAATTTCAATATTAGAGAAGTTAACACCAGAAGAGAAAAAGATTCAAGAAGCGAAATTTGAGATCTTAACTTCCGAAGCGTCGTACTTAAATTCTCTTCGAGTCCTAGAGAATGAGTTCCTCAATAATCATATACTAATAAATGAGATTCTAACGCCAATCGAAAGAAAGAAATTATTTGGTGGGGTGCCAAGCGTATTGTCGGCATCGCAAACGTTCCTAGCTGAATTAGAAGCTGTATGGAGAGAAGATCTAATGTTACCGGGTTTATCGGAAGTCTTGTTGAAACACGCCGAAAAGTGTCAAGCCACATACGTAGCGTATTGCTCGAATCAAGTCAGCATAGACACAACCCTGAAAGAACTCAAGTAAGACGCCATAAAATCGTATTTTTTGTATTTTGATAAAAGATTTAGATAAAATATATTTTTGTTCGACATAGTAATAGTTATTGTATTTGTTCTATTGCAGAGCTCGGAGAGGTGTAAAATTCTTGGAGACTGTTAAACGCATAGAAATGCAACCGGCATGCCAAAATCTATCTCTACATTCCTTCTTAATGCTACCAATGCAACGCGTTACAAGGTATAATATGATATGAATATCAAATAATCCTCTTTAAGACGCCTTGTGTTCCAATTTTGGAACATATTGTCTGGAATTACTATCTTGACATATTAAAGTTTATTTAGTATTGTATGTTAATTTTGCATTTCACGTAATTATTATTAATTGAGTTGTAGAATTAAAGATATTATTTAGTCGATAATTTTGCGTAGATTACCCTTATTAGCTGACGCCATTCTTTCCAAATTATCAATGGGAAATTCAGACAGAATATCTTGGGAAAAGGTCTTATCAACCTTGAGTAACGTCGTTGCTGAATGCAACGAAGGGGCGCGAGCTGCTGCACAGGAAGCCGAAATGGAAGCTTTGGCAAGGTATTGTATGCTATATTATTACTTAATATTATGTATTCATTCTTTTATATGTTTATGTATTGTGAAATAAAAGTTACGTGTTTTTAATCATAGGAAACTGGAGTATACCTCGAAAATTAAACCAATCATGCTGAGAGGCAAGCAGTTAGTTCGAAGTGGATCGGTCGTGCAATTGTCGACGAAAACAGACACTGAATATAAGCTCACATTCGGAAAGAAATTTACCAAGACACCACTCTATCTTTTGTTACTCACTGATTATCTTCTAGTCACGAAATTTAAATCTAAGTAAGATATTATTTAACATAATTGCATTTATTTGTTTCGTTGCATTATAATCCTGGTTTCTACCAAAATTGGTTTTATTATAATTTTTATGGGAAAGAGAGAGAGTTGTAAGCCTTTGCTTTTTATTTTGGAAAATTGAGTTGATTTTATTTAATTTATTTATTGTTATTGTTAGAAGATTTGTGTCCTTTAAGAGATAATACAGTTCAGTACATAGCAACGAGATATTATTAAAAACAGCAAGACCATCTTAAAATTATGGAGATGTCTTATGGAATTATCAGAAAGACATTTGTATGTCTTTGAAATATCTTACGTTTAGATTTTTATGAAATCTTTGAATATTATTTTAAAAATTGTCTTTCAGACATCTTATTTTTATATAGAAAAAACTCGAATAAATGGATCTTTAGAAATGCAACTTCATCATAAAAAATTTACAATATCTTTTCTA